CATTCCAGGCCTCAAACCACAACACTCTAACATCTCACTTTGACATATTGTCTCCAAGTATTTATCTTCATAGAAGATGAAACACTTTGTTTTCCAAATACTCTGGATTTGATAAATTGAGACAACCATTTATAATTAAAATTGAATTGCTCAGAATGCTTCCTGTACTCTGTAGGAAGAAAGCATATAACTTTTGAAATGTGTGTGAACATGTGATTTGCCCTATGTTTTTTTAAATGGTCTGCAGTGTCAAGTTGGTCCTCTGTCTAATGCTTTCATGAATGATGACAACAAAACATGTATCCTGGGCTTTCTTTCAGACTTGTTTGACTTTTTCATATCCTAGATCCTTTCACTCTGAAAAATCTTCCTGTTTTCCCTTATTTTCTGCTGAATCAGTGAAGTATATTTCAGCAAACCACTCAAACTTGGTTAACTATATTATTACTGAAGTAAGGCATTTTTCAACTAATTTTTCATTTTTATTTATTTTTTAAAAAAAAACCCAAAAAACTAAACAGATGTGATTTCTCTCATACGTGGGATAAACATTTTGGGAACACTCATTTTGTGTTCCAGATTTCTGTTGATCTGCTTTAATATTATCTGGACTCTATTCTGAGGATCTGAGAAACAGTGGACATTCATGACCAAAGATCTTGGACTAATGATCTTTTCCTTAAACTAGTACTCTCACTACAAGCTGTTGATTTAGGAAAAAAAAAAAAAGTACTGTTAACAGTTTCATGAACTGGTGATAAACTGGAGATGTCACAGAGCTGTGAGGTTTCTTTTGGGGAAGTAATAAAGAAGCAATAACCTCTTACTGGCAGAGTTGACAGCACCATGATCTTTTATCTGGATGCAGGACAAGAGGGAATTGGTTCATTTTTGTCCATTGCTGGTGTTCAGCTTTTACAACGTAGGCAGAACTCTTTATTAACTTCTATACTTCTACATTTTTACAATATAGTAAAGTAAATACAATGACACAATTTCAAAATGTGATGTAGCAAAAAATAAAATAGTAAGATCCAGCACTTGGTGAAGTTAAATTAATTGCATTTACCTTCATTTGATCATAATAATACTCTCCTGCTGTGGGACATACATCACCATATACCAGTGTATGCATTCCTAAATATGCTCTGTCATGAACATTGTTCCTACAGTTCTAAGCTAAGACACAGTGCACTTTTGGGAAACTATACGTAATTGAAATCTTTATCAGAAGATAACACAAAATAACCTAAAATTTAAGTGATATCTGTGTAAACAAAAAATGCAAATAATTTGTAAAATTTTCAGTATTTACAACTGATAACTTATGTTCACCTTCACTTCATAATATATCTTGATATTTTCTCCTGCATTAGATTTCAATTTATAAAGTCTTTTTCTGAACAGCTTTACTTGCAGTATCAAGTCCTGCTAATTACCTGAATGCACTGAATGCCTTGTAATTTTATAATTGATTATACAGGTGCAACTTTACAGGTTCCACTGCACAGAATAATTTATCTGCCTATAAGGAATTTATGTAAAGTTGCTGCTCCTGAAAATTATTTAAACAACAGTAAAGGGAATGAAGCAGCAGAAGTAAACTGTCTTACGTGAAACTCCCACATACACCCCAAAAATTTCTGTAAAACATGGACAAACCAGTTCAAAAAAATTATATATTTGGCAGCAAGAGTTGCTAAATATTAATAGGTTAATAAGCTATTAAGGATTTTAACTGCATGAGAACTTGAACCACATGAAAAACTGGGTTACCAAATTTCTACTTGATATTCGGAAGTGTATGAAAACACAGCATAACCTTTATCTCCTGTTTTCTCATACCATGACTGAAAGCTTGCTTCCTCTTTAATTCCCTAGTACAGTTTTGGTGCTATTCCACATAGAGAAAACAAGGACACACTAAAACAAAACAAAACAGAACAAAACAGAACAAAACAAAACAAAACAGAACAAAACAAAACAAAACAAAACAAAACAAAACAAAACAAAACAAAACAAAACAAAACAAAACAAAACAAAACAAAACAAAACAAAACAAAACAAAACAAAACAAAACAAAACAAAACGCAAACCTAAGTGCAGTGTAAAGGAAAAAAAAAATAGGAAATGTACCTGTAGCACCTTCCACCTTGTGTTCAGGTCTTCCACACAGCTGAGATTGTACTGGGAGAGTTGAATATCAGAGGGAGTGAACTGGTGAGCAAGCTCATTGACTTGATGCACCTTTTCTTTCAGGGGTATAATTTCTGCTCGATAGACCTGTGTGAATTAAATATAAATAATGATAAGCACCAGCTTAAAAAACTATTGGCTCTGCTACCAGCTGATTAGTAACGTAAGGATATTATACATCAGGCTGAAAGGAAGGAATGTACTGCCCATGATACATTCAACAGGTTTTTTCAATATAAATTCCTACGGACTTTAGGTTTCAAGGGTAAGGCCCATTATTTCAGAAGGTGATATAAAGCTGGAACCTTCATAGCAATTTTTGGCTGGTTAAACCAAATCTGTAACCAGCACACCGAGATGTGCACTGCAGAGCATGCTTCTGTCCCATCTCATCCTTTTTGAGTGTGTAGAGCTCCTATCATTTTCGGGAGCACTTTTTATTTCCATATGATGTCTGCACATAAAGGCACGATAATTACCTTACTGTATTAGTCTTGCTTTCTAGCTCCTTCTCTCATCATTTTTAATACAGATCACATGTGATCTGCATTTCATTTTAGATCATCAAATAACCTGAAATTATTGTCTGGTAATCATTTCATCAACATGGGGTGCAAAAAAGGTCAAAAAAAGCCCATCCAGTATCTCGGTGAACCTTAGGAGTAAGTAGTATGAAGATATTCATAGCCATTAGAATGCCATGAAGTGCACTAAAGGTAAACATCTATGAAAAATTGTTCCTCTAATGTCTTTCAAAACCAGACTTGACTTCCACTAATTATGTTAAATAACCCTGCAACATAAGGAGTTAGACTGCCTTAAGTGGCACTCGTACAGTAAATGAGTCTAACAATAAATCTTGTAAAATACACAATTCGAAGTGATGTGCACTTTGTAAAGCAAAGTACAGAGAACGATGCAAGTGCCGTGATGTGAGAGAAGAGGCATACATCAAGTTCATGATTGTTGACTTCTCCATTTCTCTGGTTTTATACCACTAGCACATAACTGACATTACCAGAGAGAATACTGGTTTATGGCGTAGTGTAGAACAAGGGCTGCAGTACAAAGGAAAGGAAAAGAGCTCACATGTTTGGTTTTATCCTAAAGATTTATATATGTGCTTACCCACTTCATTTCAGTTAGTCAGTGAGTTCAGAGAACAAACAACATACTTTAAAAATAGACATTTTTTCCTGTAAGGTAAAGGCCTCAAGGGCCCAAGGTCCTCAGCATGACTCTGTGGCTCATAGATGGGACAGACAACCCAGTACCTCCAATGGTGCTTGGTTTCCAAGATGAAAGAAGCTCTCAGCTACTGTTACCAATGCCCATCTTGTATATAAATATAATTGTGCATATATTTATACAAATTATTACATATCATATATAATGAAAATATAGATAATATATATCTACATAAAATGAAAAATGCTGATAGAATAAATGCAGATCAATGGATAAAATGATCACACTACAATGCACTTTAATGTAGTTCCCGCTTTAAAACAGTTAATTTTCTATTAATTTGTACAGCAACAGGATCAGGCTTTGATTGAAAAATTCATTGCTTAGGTAAAACACAGAGGCCTAAGCTTATAAATCACTTGTTTTTAAACACATGCCTAAGTATCTGGCTGATTTCAGACCAATTATTTGCATCTGTAATGTTGATTTGATAGTACTGGTCTCCCTTGAATATTGAAAAAAAATGATTAAGTAAATCACAGAGTTATTATACCTAAATTAAGCTGAAATAGTAGATCCTTCATAAGTAGTCAATATGCGCTTTGAATGTAAGTTATTTTAAACAACAGAAAGGCTAAGGCACAGAAGCAAATGACAAGAAACTAAATCAAATCACAGAAACACATATGAAAGCAAAAGCTTTAAACTTATCTTCCACCCCCTCTTCAATGTATGTCTGTCTTAATTGCTTTTCCTACTGCAAGGATACTGATATTTTCAGCATTATGCTAATTTGCTGCACAAAATAAAGTTTTTCACCAACTTTAAATTTGATATTCTGCATTCTATTAGTACTAAGCCTGATTTTTACTAGCATTTTTATTACTTAGAAAATTCAAAACAACAAAAGAAGAATGCTAGTCTAACGATTTCTGGTAAGCTTAAAATTAAAAACTTCAGTCAGAAAAGAAAAAAATTATTAATTGGAAGATTTGGCATATGACGTTGTATGATTAAAAAGGTCAGAGAATATACATCTGTGTTAAGAAACAGTTTATCACAGAAAACCAGTCCAGCAGTCAACATACATGCGTGTAGAGCTAGGTTTTTGTGTCAGAGAAAGTGAAATTCAAGATGAGGGCTTGTTTTTTTCAACAAGTGTTCAAATGAGTTTAATAAATACTAATAATTTCTATATCTTCTATAGTATTTGCCATGTAGCAGCAGAAATCGAGGCTTTCATCAGTATGACTGAAATATTTTACAAAAATATTTATAAATTTCATCAGTTTGTAAAATATGACAGATTAATTTTTCTATTTGTTTTTCTTTCTGCGTAAAAGATACTATACCTATCACAGGCTCATATCAGAAAAATATAGAGAACTAAATTGTTGGTAACTTTAAAAACATGGTGATTATTGTACCACTACCACAATGAGACCTATTTGAACCAATTAAATTGCTCAGAATGTAAATGACTTCTCAGTGTGAACAGCAATAGAAGAAACAGCCCCAAATTATCTTCATTATGACTGTCCTTACACAAGGAAGAATTTCAATGGTATGTGATAGTGTAGGTGGTAGATTGGATTTTAAATGATCCGTACAGTCATGTTAGAAAATACTTTAAAATGCCTTGGACTTGGCACTTCAGATGTGGCCTCAGCCAGGCTGAGTAGAGGGGAAGGATCACCTCCCTCAACCTGCTAGCAATACTTTGCCTATACAGCCCAGGATGCTGTCAGCCTGCTTTGCCATGAGGCTATAATTTTGGCTTACAGTCAGCTTTTTGCCTACCAGGACCCCAAGGCTCTTTCTCTGCAGAGCTGTTTTCTGGATGATTTGCCTTCAGTGTGTACTATTGCATGGGGTTATTTTTCCCAGGACACAGGATTTGTCATTTCTCCTTATGAACTTCAAGAAATTCTTCCCAGTGGAGTTCTCCATGTTATCAAGGTCCTTCTGAATGACAGCACAATCATCTGGTGTATTGTCCATTTCTCCTACTTTTGTATCACCTGTGAAATTAGTGAAGGTGTGCTCTTTTCCAGGGTCCAGTTCATTAATGCAGATGTCAAACGATATTGTCCCAGTATCTACAGTGATATTCCACTAGTGACTTGCCTCCAGTGGAACTTTCTTGTCCTTCACATGCCTGGAGACAGTTACAAGGACTGGCTGCTCCATCATCTTCCCACGGATACAGGAGAAGCTGACTGACCTGTAGTTCCCTGTGTCCTTCTTCCTGCCCTTCTTTGAGATGACAGTGACACTTCAGGATCCTTGAATCTCCCCCAACTGCCATGACCTTTCAAAGACAATTGAGACTGGCCTTGCAACATCTGCCAACTTGTTGGCCACTTGTGACTGCATCAGGACTTATGTATGTCGACAACGACAAACATGAAAAGTCCATTCCCTAATGTGTTCCACCATGGATGTTGCTGACACTATGAAGTATATTTAAAGAAAAAGCCAGCTGTGCCTACAAAGAAAGTCTGTTTCCCTGGTCTGTGAGTAACACTTTTTCAGGGCAGTGGCCTCATGGCAGTCTGGCATTTTCTTGAAGAATTCCCTCATACAGAAGAGTCTTCTGCTATTATAAGTCTGTGTTAAACCTCAATTCTCATAATCAGTGAAAGAGACAGAAAAGGACATTTGGCACCGTGATGAAAATATGACATAGCTTAGAGAGAAGAGCTCTCCTGTGTCAGATGAATTTGTGTTGTGGGCATTTTTATACCATCAGCAGCTGCAGCTAAATCAAAGCAGGATCTATCTGCACAGTAAGGTGAGCAGGCACTCTACACGCGGGCCACAGAACATTCCCAACACTGATATTTCTCTGCCTCAGCACTCTTAGTGTCCAAGTGGACAAGTATTTATGGGCCAGAGCATATCTTCAGGTTTATATTGAAAATCGTACAAGGTGGAACAAACTGATGTATTCTACCCAGGACAGTTCAACAGTCTCCATCTTCTTAATTCAAAATGAATCTGTTTCTCCTCTGATGGGTTTACTGTATTCTGATTCAAATTTCATTGAAACCTGGGATTGTCAGCTGCTAGCTCAATACGCCACTCTTAGCTTCCTTTTAAACTCACAATGTATTTTTATTTGATTCTAGTGCTCCTGGTGACAGGCGGTGTTGAAACAAAATGGATTTTAGCTGATTTGATTCTCCATCCTATATATTTTTACAAACTCAGAAATGACCAAGCAAGAATGCACTAGAGTAAAATATAAATCCTATTCTGGGATAAAAATAGTTCAAAATAGAAGACATCAGGGGAGAAAAAATATCAAATGTGCTTTAAATCCTATCTCATTCTGAATGCTGTATTTCTGAATCTCATAAAATATTATATTTTTCAAAAGTTATTTCCTAAAATTTGGAAGATTAACTCAGTATTTCCTTATAAATAAGGATAATAAAATTTGAATAGAACAAACAAAAAATTAACTAATTCCAGGTATTAGTTTTCTTCTTTTCTGAACTTTCAAAGGAAAAAGCTATGATTTGTAGCAATGTTATATCTAAGAAAAAAACCAAAATTATTAGGATGTCTAATTTAATAAACATATTAGAAGCACATATTCTGAAACACATATCACTTAGTAACTAGGAATTCTTCATATATATATATATATATATATTTTTAAATCAACAGCTGTTAGGCAGTTTTGTCATCCCTGAAAAAATGCAACCTATGCTACTGCCTTGGCATTAATTTTGAAATTGTGTTCTCCACACAGGGGGAAAAGTAAATGAGTAAACTTATCTTGTAAGTCACTCTACTAGAATAACTGTCACCATGACATGGCAGAGCCCATCACTGCTGAAGTGTTCATAAACAGTTCTGCACCAATTCTTCCACATAATCAAAGTTAGTTG